GTTGTTAAATATATTTGAGTACAAATAGTAGCATGTGACTTGAAAACTTAATAACACAAATAAGATTCATGCACACAAAAGAGCAAAAGCTGACTTCATATGTACCGTGGCCTTGCATATTGCAATCAGAAGATATCTTCGTATGAATACACATATACTTATGTCAATATATTTTTTCCCTCAAAAAGAATAGATAAATCCATATAGATAGTCTCTATATAGTCATTATATATTGAATAGAAAATGTTCTTACTATATCGAAGGCATTCTGTCACACATTGACACTTATGAGAAATTAACATTTTCTGAACATCACATTATATCTCACATATGTTTTATAAGACCAGGTATATAAGCTTCCTTGGTAGACATGGCTAGAGCTTCCAATTTATCTAATACATCGGAATTTCTTCCATAGATCAGGAAAATTTGAAGATTCTAGCTCGGAATGATCAATATGATCATTCTTGGTTGTCCCCACAAAACTATTGCATTGTTTTCCCGAATTCAAATTCATCGATCCGAGAAAGTTTGGATATCTATGTTAATAAGCTTACTATCAGTCATCGGTACGATGTTACTAGAATTTCTACAAGAGTGACCTACCTTCATATGTTCACTGGATTCCTTCATTTCCACTCATAAGTTGCTATCACCCAAGGTGTATTTACCCATAGCTTCCCTCTAAATCTGCTCGGTTGGAATAGAGGAAGAGGAAAGGAGAGATGAAGAAAGGGCTGTGTAATTTTTCCGTGAAATGAGAGTTATATCAATATATGTAGACATCCGTGATAAGGATGAAAGTATATTGGCATGATCATATGTACTATCAAAACAACAGGCATGTCATTGTTTATATGAAAACAGTCTACTGATTAAACCCGTCATCCGTGTCCAATTTTTTGAGCAAATGGTTCGGTTGTAGCAGTATCATAAAATTGTCCTTATGCATTCTAGGTGTTAGGCCTAAATCCAGCTTACTTCTCACTTCGTAATCTCACTAGTATCTTTATTTTTATTTTTTAAAAATGTTAGTATCCTTGTTGAAGATGGTGTTCCTTAATTGTCCTTTTCTAGTTCAAAAAGTTTACTAATAGGTGGTATCTCTATTTCTCCTAATGCATTAAGCGTAGGTATTGGTCATAGTAATATTTTGCAAGGATCTGACATCAAATATGGCCAGGGCATGATGCTGATCCCACAGCCATAATGGCTGAAAACAAAAGCTTTGTAGTGGTAACGAGGAAGGTGGTGATGTCTTGCTAATTGTTTAACCCATGAAAATTGGCTCTTAGCCACTTTTCTAATTAAAGAGTGCTATATATATTATGCCTAAATTTCTATTATAAACAAGAGCTCACATGCAAGCTTATTTGTTTTATGCTTACTACATTTGTTTAAAATTGTCTGTTTTAAGATAATGCATACTACATTTTGATGCATTTTTTCTTACATAAGTGCAAATTTCTTTGATAATATATCCATTATGTAGATTTAGATCTATTCAGTATGTTCTATATAAAGGAAACATGTAGTATTGTTTTAATTTTTTATTAGTTTTAAAATTGGTGGTATCCCTTGAAAAGAAAATGTGTCTAGCCCATTTTAGCGCACGGCCACACACACCACTAGTTTCACAAAGGAATAAGTTCATTTTAGGTCCCTCAACTTGAGAGTGAATTCGATTTTCAACCTTTAACCAAAATACCAGATACAATAGTTACCTCAACAATCAAAACCGGTGCAATTTAGATCCCATATCAGTATAGTGGGTAGTTTTGTTCGACATGGCAATTTGACCTGAGTCAACGCGGAACCCATGTGGGCCCCATATATCAGAGGCCAGTCTTCTTCCTCCTATCTCCCCTTCTCCCCTCTCTTCCCCATCTCTCTTGTGCTGCATCTTCGATGAATGCTCTGGCGCCGATGTGCTCGGCCTCAGCTTGCTCGTCTCCGCCTGCATCTTCACCAACCGCTTCCTCTTCTATCTCGCGCCGCTTTTTTCCTCCTAGATTCTTCATCTTTCTCCATACTCGCGCCACTAGATTGATAGAACAACTGTTGCACCCAACTGCCCTTCTGCAAGAATCGATTAATCCCACCTAGCTCCTGCATACCAGCACCTCACCTACCAAAACCCAATAATTGCTCTCATTTAGCCGGATTCATCCACATCGGTGCCTCAACCACAACAAGAACACTAATCAAGAAAACAACCATGCACAGGGTCAAAAATAACGGAGTTACATAGAGCACTACATAATCTGAACCTAGTAACTGATCGGTCCAGAGAAACACCGCCAATGCATATGTTGTATTTTTCCCTGCCTGTGCCTGTCAGCGCCACATCGCCACATCAGTTGGCGCTGAGGTAGCCAATGTCAGCAGCCAGCAGAGAGACATGGTTAAGTGCCCAAAGTCAGCGCCAATGAGTTTGGCGCTGAGGTAGGGTATCTCATCGCCAAGGACATTGGTGCTGACCACCCTGGCACGTCGGCATGGGGAGGCGCTCAGCTGCCACGGTGGCACGAGGTTAGCGCCAGGCCCGTTGGCACTATTGGATACAACCTCAGTGCCAGCTTGTTTGGTGCAGAGCCGACGGCCTATTTTTTGTTGAAGTTTTTGGCAGGGGTGTTGACTCGAAAAATCGGCACGCAGCGGCCTGGTATATCTGCTTAACTCCAGTGCAGATACGGGAAATTTGTCTTCGGGTTCTGAGAGTGCCAGATGGTTTAATCCTGCAACCAACAAGATAGAAAAAAAAAAGCAAAAGAGTTAAATCCATCAACGATAGCTGATTGGCGGGATTGCCGATGACATAACATTGGGAGCCACGCCGATGCAACTCAAGCCGGATCGGTGTAGGCTAGTAAAAACTTGGAGATTGTTCGGTGTACTCGATCGACTGTAGGTATCAGCGACGCGTAATCCGTTAGACGGGGCATGCTTAGATCGAGCGACTGGGATAGATCGGTGGTGGCATCGAGACAATATAAATTGCTCCATATCTAAACATACTCCAAAGAAGAGATTATGCACGCTCATAGCATAGCCGATGGAGAGAACCCAACCTATACCAGCTAATACTCCGATACCGCCTTATACCAAGATACCAGCACAAGTGAAATATAGGAAGCTTGACCCAATCTAGAGACTAGGAAGCTTGATCTACTTCAAGAGGATGGGGTCTTGATATAAGGGGCAGATCTAGATGATTTAGAACCAAAAAGGAAGATAAAACGACTAAATCAAGCAAGATCGGCTGAAACCCTGATAATATCTCTATTAGAAATCAAAGAAAAGATTAGATAGAGAGCCTCATGACAGTACTTAATAGGTCGAACCTAACCGATGCAGCATTAAGCGTGAAGAGAGGCAAAAGATCTAATCAAACCGATGAGAGCTCATTCAAGATGGTGGATGTACCGCATACTCTAGCTCAAAATTGAAACCTGAGCCTTCCAGTTGTTTTCGATGATAGAGGCTAGCTGAAAAAGCCTAGATGACGAGATCAATCTAGATTATGCGACACATATGATAACTCGGCAGCTTGCGAAGACAGGATTAGAGTGTCATAAAGATGTAAGCACTAATCCCGAGAGCACAAGCCGCCATGACAAGATTTACCTTTTCGTCGGAGATTGAACCTGATGCAGCCCAACTCGAAAGCAAAAACTCGTCAAAAAAAACAATGAAAAGTAAAAAGGGTGGCAATGCGCCAAAGTGTATTGAACTGACGTTATTTGATTACAAAGGGTCGGTCTATATTTATACTCTAAGTACATGGTAGGTCCTTGCTGGACACGACTCTTATCTCTAACATACGAATGACCCTTTCAGGTGGCCCTTACCAAAATATCTCTAAGGAAACTAGAAAAATGTCCTAATTAATAGATATAATTGCCTCTCTTAGGTCTCTTTTCCTTGTGTAGCAATAGCTATGAAGATCTTTAGTCCGGCCCAATGACAATTGTGGGGCCACTTTCCCGAGATCGGCGGTATCGCTTGACTATGTCATGCCCAGTACTCAGCCGATATGTTATAACCGATATCAACGTAGCCGATTTGGTAGTTATTCTTCTTTCCCAAACAGTCTTTTCTTCTCAAAATTGGCTTCTTTTCCTACTTCGAATCCAACTCATGGAGCTTCTAAATTTGGTCGTCAACAAGGGGCTAGTTTCAAAATAAGTATTTTAAAGGGCCAATTTATCAAAAAAAAAAAGGAAAATGTCCAGCGACTTATCCAGAAAATCTTTTAAGAGTAGGGCTGATCTTCCTTATGAATCTTATATCTTCAAAACTTACACTAAACTTTAAACACAATATAATAGGAATTTAGTAGACGAGTCTAGGGCCTAAGCCATAGCTATCTTAGGCCGTCTCCACACTGAAGACATTTTCCTTTCAATGAGTTTTGGTAACTCTTTATGAATTTCAACAAATTTTGAAGGAGATGCACACTTCGAGCAAGCTGAAGATGATCGTGAAATTTGTTCGAAATTCGCAAGAGCGAGGAAAGGGAAAAGAAAAGATTGACAAGGTATGTAAAACGGGATGAGTCATCAGTACATAATTAATTACATATAAGTTGTTTTAAACTTATAAACATAGATCAATATGATTATTTAAAATAGCATTTCTATATTTTTCTTTCAGAATATATAGGATAGTTTAACAGTTTGGAAAACACACGCGTGAAAAACAAATATTTTTTTCTCTCGATCTCCTCCTAGCGAAACGAAATAAGCCAAACGGCATATTTGCAAAAAAAAATGTGAAAAAAAATTATATACGTATTTTTAAAAATCTAAAAGCTAAGGCTGAAAAATAAACTTGGATGAAAAAACCAAAATCAATTCCAAATTTAAGGTTGAAATTTTCAAATTTTGACAGATAAGTAGTAGTATAAGCATAAACATAATCGTAAAGATGATGCTGTCAGGCCCCTAAACCCCGTGGCCCCACCTGCCAGCCAGCCAGCCGTTCTGCCACTGTTCCAACCAAACCCAAAACCAAACCCCATCATCTCCGCCGCCACGCCTTCTTCACTCTCAAATCTCCAACTCCAACGAACACACAGAGGGAGGAATCGGATCGGATTGGATCCCAACCCACCCCGCGCCGCCGCTGCCGCGTCCCGTCCCGAATCCTCCGGCGAGGTAACCACCTCCTCCCTGCCACCCCCTCTCTCTCTACCCGCTCCGCCGCCGTCACCTTTCGCGCTCGCGACGAGGGGCCTCTTCCCTGGGGGAGTCAGTGCGGTGCGGAAGCCAATCCGGTGGGGGGGAGTGTTGGCTGTTCTTGGCTGGCAGAAATGGGGAATCGGGGTTGCGATGCTGCGTCTTGTCAATGCCTTTGCCGTTAAAGACGATGCTTGAGTTTTAGGTTTCATTTATGATTTTTCTAGGACATCAGCCTGAGCAATCGTGATCTCTGTTTTTTTTAAAAAAAAAAAGAGGGGGGGGGGGGGCGAATTTTATGGGAATGCTCCATGCAGCCGAGTTTTCAGTAACTTGTGCATATACCGAATTATTCATGATTTTCTCTGCAGAAGTGATGGTTTTGCTCCACTTAACAACTCCAATTTAAGTTTTGTTGTACGGCATTTTGCTGACATTGACCCGTAACTGTCAAAATTATCGGAAACAGAATAGATTGATGCCCCCATGCTCTATCAATATACATGTTGTATTTGACATTATGCTCGGCTTAATCTCATTGCAGCCTGACGTCGGCCGATGGGCGCATCAGTGACTACTGGCTTGCAGATGGCGGCGGCACGCCCTTGTATCCCAGCTTGCCAACGCCTGCTAGGGTCAAGAGCAGCACTTCCTTCATTTGGAAGGGCGCTTAGTACCCAAACTGGCTTCGCGAGCTGCAGAAAAACAGCATCAGCAGGGCCGTTTGTTTCTCTGAACCACAAGAGGTTTGCCGTGAGGGCGATGTCTGCCCAGGGACTCCCCATTGATCTCAGAGGTAAGCTTTATGCCTCTCAGTCAAAACTCAACAAAAAAAAAGTTCTTTAACTCAATTTTGGAGCTATAATATCTAGACAAGATTTTGAATGGTGTTTATTTTCGTCACTCATCATGGCTAAAAACATTTTAGTGGTGGTCACTAATTTCTGTAAGTGCTGTATTTTAGTATGTTAATGGGCTTCTAAGATGTATGCCATAAAATGGACTACCTTGATGCATTATTGAATTATCTGTTATAAGTCTGTTATTAATTATATGTAAACTTTTTACTACTATTAAACATGAGTGAACATGGTTAACTCTTTTGGTATTGCCCTTCTATATTTGAGTGATGCACTGACTCCTCGCACGCATAAAAAGTGCTACTAACTTGTCATTACTGAAGGAAATGTATAATCTAGCACAACCCAAAGGATATTTAATCATGAAGTCTCTAACTTGTTGCATTTTTTTACAGGTAAAAGAGCATTTATTGCTGGAGTTGCTGATGATAATGGCTATGGCTGGGCAATAGCAAAAGCTCTTGCTGCAGCTGGTGCCGAGATTCTTGTTGGTACATGGGTACCTGTAAGTTGATCTCATTCACGAAGTGTATCATTATAGATGTTCTGGTGGAAACACTTAATTCTCATTCTCATCTTCAGGCACTGAACATATTTGAGACAAGCTTGAGGCGTGGGAAGTTTGACGAATCACGAAAGTGTGTTCCTAAGTGTACTTGCAGTTATTTAATGTTTTGTGTAGTCCATTTCAGTGTTCCATGCTGGAATGATTATCATCTCCATGGTGTCTGACTACCTTTGTTGCAGGCTTCCTGATGGATCTCTTATGGAGATTACAAAAGTCTACCCATTGGATGCAGTTTTTGACTCTCCTGAGGATGTTCCTGATGATGTAATGTTCATCATTTTCTTTTTTCATGTCAACTCCTGTTCTGTATTCTGAATCGGTCCTCTGGTGTAGGTTAAAGCAAACAAAAGGTATGCTGGATCTTCAAACTGGACTGTTAAGGTAAGCTGCAGTATGCCTTTTTTGCCATATTACTTGGAAATAGATACTTGTGAACCATGAGGATTACTAATTTGTACGATCCTCCCAAGTTCCAACCCAAGGCCTAATCTGTCTTTATTTCATAGGAAGTTGCTGAAACTGTGAAGAATGACTTTGGTACCATTGACATCCTCGTACACTCTCTTGCAAATGGTCCTGAGGTATGCCACTATCTTTCTCTTTCTTTATCTCATTGTCGTCATCTGATTATCCTCGTCATCACTAACATCTATTTTTTTTTATTTTCTGCTCAAAGGTAAAAAACTCTTTGCTGGAGACATCAAGAAAAGGGTATCTTGCTGCAGTTTCAGCATCTAGTTACTCTTTCATCTCTTTACTCCAACACTTCCTTCCTATAATGAATCCAGGTATCAAACAATCTTTGCTAGTGCTCTGTAACTATTATTATTTTCTCTTTCTGTTCAGGTGTGGATTTTTAAAAATCATGCTACTTTCTCAATTTATTTGGCCAGTTTTTCATACTACTAGTTGTATTGTATAACAGTACTTATTTAATGCCAACTCATTGGTTGCGAGTTGGGCCTTGGCTTTATCCAAGAAATTACTTGCTACCAATCCTTAATATCGTCAGATGGAAAATAATTAGCGTACTGCTGGTTATTAACTCCTGGCTAACTTGTTTGCCATGTGGTTAGGTGTGGAAACTGTGACTGGCAATCGAACAAGCCCTATGGGCCTTTCTCATGTTTCTTAGATTATTTTGTTCTATTTAGTTAGGTCGGAATCTAGTTGTTCTAGTTCAAGAGTCATTGCCATTTCAGCATGCTTCACAGGAATGTCACTGATTTGCAGGGGGTGCTACTATATCCTTGACCTACATAGCTTCCGAAAGGACAATTCCTGGGTGAATACTCTCTCAATGTTTATCACTTCTAAATTGTGAGTATTGTTACTTATATTTTGTTTTTATTGCTTTTATAGATACGGTGGCGGCATGAGCTCAGCAAAAGCAGCACTTGAGAGTGATACAAGAGTATGAACTTATGTGTGAAGTCGTGCATATTTTTTTAAGATCCCAAATAATGCTTGGTTTGCAAATATTTACTTCTGGCCATTCTCTTATACTTGTAGGTTCTAGCTTACGAAGCAGGTCGAAAAGGCAAGATCAGAGTGAATACCATATCAGCAGGTATCTTACAGTAATTAATCTTCTTTTCATAAGAATAAAGTCTCATATAAATTAATCATTTATGTGTCAACATTCACGCAGCAATAAGTTCAATCCCAGATGTGTACAATCCTTTTATATGATAATACAATTTCATTTGCACTTGCATCCTACATAATATTTCATTATTCAATGTACGGGTTTTGAGGACATCTGTTCTAAACTACTTGGCGACATTACATTCCCATATCCTGTTTCTGCAGGTCCATTGGGAAGTCGAGCAGCCAAAGCTATTGGTTTCATCGAGAAGATGATAGAGTATTCGTACGTGAACGCACCACTGCAGAAGGAGCTCTTGGCAGGTCGAAATTAACTTCTTTCAGTTTGCCTCTATTGGGATGCCTATTTATGCACCAAAGGTCACTTATAAAGCTTTATTTATATGTTCAACAGATGAAGTGGGGAACACAGCAGCATTCTTAGCATCGCCGTTGGCATCTGCAATCACTGGATCAACTATCTATGTTGACAATGGGCTCAATACAATGGGACTTGCACTTGACAGCCCTACACTATCCACATAGACGTGTAAACTATTCTCCTGGATGGTTCCGTTTGGTAGCAGATGGTCATTAGGCCCCAACTGAAGCTCAAAACCAGATGCTGATATGAAAATGAGGAAAGATGGTAGTTTGAAGATGCAGACTTTCTAGAAAGTTGAGTTACTGGGTTTTCTTCATTTTGGTCTATGCTAGCAATGAGAATTAGCATTGTAGGAGTACAGTTTGTTGATTGTTCTTATGTTAGTCCTAGCCTCCTAGGATCTGATCTGAAGAAAGAGAATAATGGAAGTTAAAAAGAACAGGAAATCGAAGTTCTGCCCATTGCGTTGTTTGTTTTTCGTGTAGTGTTATCTCTCACTCGGGTTTTATAAAAGTTGTAAAAATCTATAGGTATTATAACGTGTGGTACATGATCACACAGGTTTTTATTATTAAGACCCTTGATTAGATTCTCTGTATCTGAAATATTTTTTTTAGAGCAGTAAAGAGTTAAACTTTTAATAATTAAAAATTTCATATACCCTCTATGTTTTAGAAATTTAAGTAAATTCATGCTCAACATAAATAAGGGAGGGATTTTCTAAAACTTTAGAACCGTGAGGTTATGTGCCACACGTACCTTGGGTTATTTGCAACTTTAACCATAAAACTGGGTTCTCTAAAATTTACTTTATTTTTAAATATTTATTTTAGTTTAGAGTAAATTATATTGGTGTTTTATCAGGTGCATGCTCACACAAACTTATAAAACACTTATTTTCGTGCAAGACATTAATCTTGCTGGTTTAAGTACGGGCAAACACACACGTGTGAGAAGGTTGTCATATAGACATAGATTTGTTCAATAAAAAGATGAGACAAAATGAAGTTTAGTTGTTGGATATGGAAAACTAATATGAAATTCATGAAGAGATCGAGTTTATAAATATTGCATGATACACATATCCATTGTTACGAGTACACATTATGTTCTTTACCTGATAATTTAAATTAGCCGTGCAAGCTATTTTGGTCTTAATTTGCGCGCATCAGATAAGTTAAAGCACTATTTTTTAAGTTAATTTATTAAATTACACCCACCTGATACATCTGCATAGCATCACTTTAGTTTACTTTTTTTTTAATCACTTTAGTTTACTTTTTTTTTATCGGATGTCTCTGAAGGACAATATAGCTAACTATATATTTTAACTTAGAGCATCCCTGGCAGTTACACCATTCAGTGCTCCATCTGAAATATGGTGCACGAGAGTGAAAAATGGGCCTCCGGCAGATACGCCATTGAGCCATCCAAAAATAGTGCATGCGCCAAAACAGATAGATAAATGTCAAATATAGCGTGTCTCTCTCCCTACGCCATATCAAATCAGTCATATCTAGATCGAGCTCCCGTCCTCATCTGGCGTGACCTCTGCTTCGTCGGCGGCTGAAATGAGAGGGTGGAGAGGGAGAGGCATACCAGATCTAGAAGGACAGCGTCGCTAGTGGCAGCCATGCATCCCTCCGAGGCCTCCAGCTGCCACCGTCGTCCTATGCGCGCCCGCCGCCTATCTCCTTCGCACCCACCGACTGTCGTGTTTGTCGAGAAAATAATAGAGAATGTTCTAGGTAGAAAAGAGAAGAGCAATCTGGGTATAATAGAAAAAAAAACAGAGAAAAGCTACCCATTTTACGCATCAAATTGATAAAAAATGGTTCACTCATTTCAAATATAAAAAATTACCCATTACAAATATATCTATTAAAACCTACCCATTTCAAAAGATTATCGCAATAAATAACGGCATCCGAAATTTAGTAGTTCAAAATATATAGCCCTTAAAAGTACATATGTACGGTTAGTTGGAAGGTATTACTAAATACGAGGGTGTGATAGAGGATATAGATGATACGTTGGAGTGACAAGGAATATAAAGGAGAAATATTTCTTTTGGATAATTTTTTTTAACAACTCGCACGAGACGGTGTGAAGTTCTATTGATAGAAGTTCTATTGATAGAGCAGGAAAAAAAATTACAAGATTACAACCCTAGAGAGTTGTAACCAGAAAAAAGGAAAAGAAATAAACTACCACCCACACACCGACATCGCCAACACATAAGCCCAGGAGAAGGCTAACACCGGACCGGTCGCCGCTAAGCATGACCGACCGCCACTAAACCAACAAAGGGACACAGACGAGATCGCCCCCTAGGGGATGCCAAAAACGACGTCTTCAAGAAGAGAAGCGACGGAAGAACCACCGCCGCCGTCCGTCGAGACTCAAAGGAGCTAAGACTGGGCTTTCGCCCGGCAATCACCCTTGAGGGGTGAGACAGCACGACAACGCCCTCAGGAGGGGGAATGAACCATCGTTGTCGGTCCGGCCAAGGCCGGAACTGGGTTTTCACCCGCCGCTTACCACCTGCGAATCCACGGCTGAAGCACAGATGCTCCACCACCACACAAGCTCTGCCGACATGTGGGACCCCTGCACCGGCGTCCTCCGTCGACCAGCCTTTGTGCGCCGAAGACCGCGCCACACCCACCGGCAGCTCCACCTAGGTCGCCTCCTCCACCGCCGACCGCGCCTCTCGCGCCAATCCAGCCTCCCTCCATCGGCTGCGCCTCTCGTGCCAAGCCGGCCTCCTTCTCCGTCGCCCGCGCTTCTCGCGCCGAGCCGGCCTCCGTTGCCATCGGCTGCGCCACTCTGCGCCAAGCCGTTCTCCGAACCCTCCACCAAACGATGCCGCGCCGGCCAGATGCAGCCGTCTCCCACGCCCTCGGCTAGCTGTCCGAGGCCGCCATGCCTCTGGTGATCGCAGACATGCTCACCACCACCGCAGCCGCTGCTGCCGAACGCCCAGCCACCTCACCATCGCCATCCTCACCTCGCACCCGACTCCTTCCCCGCCGCCGACGTCGCCACCGCCTCCACCCGCGCCCTCGACCGACTCCATCCCCGCCGCCTTCAACCACCACCGCGTCGGCGCCACACGCCGCGACGGCCGCCACCTCAGCCATAGCCACCGCCAGCCGCATCAGACGCCGCCGCCGTCGCCACACGAGAGTCAGACTCCTCGTTTCCTCCACGCAGCCGCACCCCGCCGCCTCACCACCACTGCAAAAGGTGCCGCTGTGTGCCGAGTCTGGGCAGGGGAGGTGGGTCTGGCCATCTCGTCCTCCCAACCCCCACACCACCGTAGTCATTCGCCTCCGCCGGCTAAGGTCGCCGGCAGCACACCGTCACCTCCTTCGGCCCGCCGAGCCGCCACCGCGTCAGAGGGCAGCCGGGCCGTCGCCGAGCTGCCGCCACCGCGTCCGACACTCCCAGCCGCATCATGCCGCCATCACGCCCGAGGTGCTCGCCGCCGCGCGCAGGCTGCCGCATCGTCACTGAGCCGCCACTGCGCCCGGGCTGTTCCGCCGCCTCCGCACCGTCGCCGAAGCTCCCAGCCAGCTGCTCCGGCCGAATCCAGGCGTGGGAGGGCCAGATCCGGCCTTAGAGGAGCCAGATCCGCCGCCTCCCCAAGCCGCCTTGCCGTCTCCTCCCCTGGCTGCGGCGGAGTACCTCGTCGGCTTCCCCCGTCCTCGTCGCGCCGAGGTAGAGGCCGTGGAGTTGTTGGGCCTCGCCGCCGCCTTCCCTGCTCGCTGCCGGCTTTGCTGCCGGCGAGCTCCAGCAGCGGTGAGGTGGGGAGGTGGAGCGGCGGCGCGGACGGCTAGGGTTTTTTGCCTCCCGAGCCGCCCGTGCGAGAGCTACACGGGGAGGGGAAAAGTTTCTAAGTAAAATCTTCTTTTGGATGATCATCCATATCAATATATGGAGTATCAAATTTATATTAGCTGTTGGGATGCTCTTATAATACGTGGGAGCATGCGTGTTGGGTAAATTTGCCTGTATGTATGGTGTAAGTTAAACATGGAATCAGATCCTGCTTCTCGATCGTTCATCCCTCCATAGCCCAGAAGCCAGAACATATGTGCCTTCATTTAAATTTTAAATAAAAAACAAACAGAAAATGTGCCACTTTCTCCCAATCGGCACACGTGCATCTCCCACCGTGCCGCCACGTGCCCCCAACCCGGGACACGTGCACGTCCACGTACGCACCAAGTGATCTTTGAGCAACACAAGCTCTACTTAATTTTGTTAAAAAAAAAAATTACTCCTATAAATGACTCAGCCACAGCGAGCGAGCGAGCGGCAAATAAATCACCGTGCCAAACTAGATTGCGGCAAGAATCAAGAACTTAGCACGACAACACAGAGAGATTTTCTCAAGAGAGATTTTGAGGTTTTCGGAGATGCAGGGCGGGAGGAGCGCGAGCGCGGTGGAGGCGGCGAAGGAGGCGGCGGCGAACGTGGGCGCGTCGGCGTGGGCGGGGAAGGAGAAGACCAAGGCCGTCGTGGAGGCCACCGTCGACAAGGCCAGGGCGCCCGACACGGCGGCCAGGGACGCCGCCGACGCGCGCAAGGCGGACCGCATCCGCGAGGTCGAGGCCACCAAGCGCCACGCCATGCGCGCCAACGCCGCCGCCTACCACCCGTCCTCCCCCGCCGCCGCGCCGCCGCCACCAGCTCAGGCACAGCCCGTCGGGGTCGGCGGACGCGCCATTGACAGCTCGGCGGCGCCCGCCCCCGCACACACCGCCGCGGGCGCTGGGGTCGTCAACAGCGGCGTCGCGCCGCCCGGCGCCATCGCCGGAGCGGGGGGTGCCTTGGGCCGCCCGGCGGCGGCCGCGGGGGGAGACGGAAGCGCCGTCGACGCGCCCGGCGGCGGCGACGTGGAGGGACATGCAGGCGGCGTGCCGGTGGCCGCTACAGAGGGCGCCGGCGCCGGCTATCCGCCGGCGCATGTCTGAGCGGATGGAGCTCTGCCTGCCATGATCGTTGATCGAGTTGAGTGTGTCCATGAATCCGAGATTTCTTTGCATGTTTGGTTTGGTGTGAAATGAACACGGTTTTCACATATATTTACGCTGGTTTGTGAATTGATTATGTATGATGATGCTGGTTTGTGAATTGTGATCGACTTGTGTGAGTTGTGAGGACGTTGGTCCTGTAAAGAAAATGTATGGTTGGTTTGTGGTAAAAAATTACTTTGATGTTTGGTTATGTTCATACTACCTCCGTCCAAAATGCAAGTGGTTCTAAAATGGACACGTGATCAAATGTAAGTTGTCGTGGACATACCTATTTCTTTTAGAATTGTAGAAGAGGTGTGATTTGATCAAGAAGAGAAGGTTTATGAAGTCATTAAATTGTTAAGATTGGTTTAGAGGAGATTTAATTGTTATGATCGCTTAAGAAGCGGAGGAAGGTAAAAAAGTAGTTTTATTTCAAGGTATCGTACCGTGCTAAAATAGCTACTCCTTCCAGGTTATAACACGTCTTTGACAAAGGTAAACTGTAGGTAAACTGTTATAACACGTCTTTGACAAAAGGTAAACTGGAGGTAAACTGTTTTAAATTTGACTAAATTTATAGGTAAATATAGTAATATTTATAATACTCAATTAGTTTTATTAAATCAATAATTGAATATATTTTTATAATAAATTTATCTTGGGTTAAAGATATTACTATTTTCTTCTACAAACTTGATTAAATTTTTAACTTTGATAAAGTCAAAACGTCTTATAACCTGAAATGGAGGGATATTATATTTTAAGATGGTAATAATAAATCACAAATTTAGTTGCAACCCTGTATTCCTATTCAATATTCCACTTGTTTTGCACTCACACATGATATATCAGATTTATCGTCTGCCAACTAATACCTTTATAACATATATATGCAGTACTTAAAAAATCCTCATAGGGATCGGCTTATAGATACCGGTTTATTTAAAACCGGCACCTATATATATTTTCACACCTCTCTGTGATGGAAAAATATAGAACCGGCACCTTTAAACACTGTAGGTGTCGGTTCTAGCGAAAAAACCGGCACATACTATAAGTGCCGGTTTTTTAAAAGAACCGGCACCTATAGCTTTTTAAGCCGAGCCATCAGCGGCACCACACCCACCGAACCAAACGTCCTTATCTACTCGAGACAGATCTTATCCACACGCATCCTATCCCTTCTCGCGTCTCTCTCCCTCCTCTCTCTCGCGTCGATCTCCCTCCCCCTCTCTCTCTCTCGCTCTCTCTCTCTCTCTCTCTCTCTCTCGCGTCGCTCTCTCTCGCCGGTGGAGGCGGCAGGCTCCTGTGGCCAATGCGCCTAGCGGAGGCGGCGAGCACTTGGGAGGGCGCGGCCGCTGGCGGAGGGGAGGGGAGGGGAGGTAGTGGGGAGGTGGCGGGCTCCCCTCCCATGGCCGGCGGCTGGCTGGCAGAGGTGGCGGCGGCGGCCACACTCTCCCCTCCGCCAGATCTGGCGGGAGGGGAGGCGGCGGGCTCCCGCCTGGCAGAGGCGGCGGCGGTGCAACTTGGCGGCGACAGCGGCCACGCCCTCCCCATGCGGCGATGACGGCGAGCGTGGAGAAGGACGGCGGTGGCGCGGGCGATGTGGCGGCCAGCGGCATGTGCTCTTTTTTGAAACCCTTGTGGCATGTGTTTTTGAGTTTCTCTTTTTGATTTCTTGTTGAGTTCTAGTCCCAAACTTGAGTTCTTAATGATTTGTACTATTCGCTAGTTCTTCGTGAGCTAGTTCTTGATGAATATACTAGTTCGTTGTTAGAGTTTATCACGGATCCGAGAGGTGGTGATGAAGGGGAGTAGGGATGGTTTTGAGGGAGGAACGATGGTGGAGTGTAGATGGTGAGTTCGGCTTGATTCGAGCTGGCTCGCTCTTTTTTTTTAGCTCGAGCAAAGCTAAAGGTGCCGGTTCTATTTTGACATAGGTGTCAGTTTTTTTTATTGGTGCTGACCAATAGCCGATTTCTAACCGGCACTTATGGCTGTTTCTGTACTTGTGATGGCTATGGATTCATAGGAGTAAGTATCATTGTTTCCTCTCCTACAGCCAGTCGGCAGGGGAGTATCATGCTATGATGCCACTGCACTGTGCAGCGTTTAGCGATTACTTTGTCGATCTTAAAATGTAATTTCTACTACTGTAAATATACGTCTATCTAATACTATATTGTTACGGAGTATATCATAAAACTAATATATTACATCCATTCATGCCAATTTGCTAATGCCAATTTGCCGGTGCTACATTGCTTGGGCTCTACTACATATAAAATAGGAAAATTTTGCAACAGGACATCGTTGCTTCGTGGTTTTAACTGTAAGACACCACATGAAGCCGTTTTTAAGAGAACATACTCTAAAAATGTGGCTATTTGCCAGAGAACACCGCACCCACTAAATTAATGTTTTCGTGCTAACTAGATGAGAGGGGCTCACTTTTTACATGGCTTGATTAAATTACCCCTTATTTCTCTTTTTATCATCTTCATTACTAGAAAACCTTATGTATTTTTTATTAGGTATAGGTATAGATATAGATCTCTTCCCCTCTCTCCTTTCTCTCTTCTCTAGCGAGGTTGTCTGCATGTGGCTGGCCGGCGGCACTCTTTCCCTCCCTTCTCGTGGCGATGGCAACGGGTATGGACCCGACGGGTTTCCACTCCCTATACCCACACCCATTGAAACCAAATTTGCACACTACAAAACCCACACCCACTCACTGGTGAAAATTTCCCCCATACCCGCACCCGCACAGGTGATGGGTACCCACACCCATTGCAACAATTTCAATTGTAGACAATAATAACTCAATAAGGTATAGGCTACAGTGATATGTACACATTAGGATTCAAAAACTAACGCTCAAACAAACCATACTTCGCCAGCCATGACGCTCTGACCCACTTGGATTCTCTCCTCCTCACTGATGCCTCTCCCGTCCTCGAGCTGTTGGTCGATCGATCGATCGGCGCGGTCCTTCGCCTGCCATGACGACGGCGGCGGTGGCAATGGCACCCTTGCCTCCGGAGCCGGCGTAGCCAAGGCAGCTTAGCCTCGGGGACCTCAGAGCGGTGTCCTCGCTCGGCCGGGGCGCCAAGGGCGTCATGTTCCACGTCGTGCCTACCATGGCGAGGGAGGAGGAATGGGCAGTTTCCTCCTCCATCGCGCTCAAGGCGACCCGCAGGAGACGGCGCGACACAAGAAGACAAGGAACTGTGGCGAGGACGGGCACCGGGGGATCTGGTTTGAGCGGGACGTGCACATGTCGCAGAGCCACCCGCTGCTCCCTTCACTCCGAGGCATCCTCGCCATCGATGCCGTCGTCGGGTTTGCCATCGACCGATGCGGCAGCGGAGATCTCAACTCGTCGCTCCGACACCGCCAGACTGAGAAGATGGCTCCGGGCTAAGCTGGCCGTGGCCAAGAACCGCCTCGCCGGGATGGCGGCCGAGATATCGTTGCTCAAGTCTGTCGTTGGGTCAACGAAGGATGCCATCGTCACGAGGAAGAAGCGAGCAGCAGTGGAGGAGCTCTGCCGACGCTGCGGGCGCTGATGTCGATGTTGATGTCGACGCCGCCCACCACGACATCATGCCGCTCCCGCCGTGGAGGCTGGAGGAGCTACACAGGGTCGTGGAGCTTGAGGAGAGGAAGGCCGTGGCTACCATGTGACTAGCTGAGGTGCGCGCCAGGAAGCGGGAGACCGCCGAGCAAGGGCGTGGCCGTGACACTGAGAACGAACACGCTGAGGATATGAGACGAGAAAGGAAGGGCAATTCGGTCAAGCAGTATAAGAAAGTGGGACCCCTCTCGTCAGTCAACACGAAAACATTAATTTAATGGATGCAGCGTCCCTAGCAAATAACCACATTTACAGAGTGTGTTCCTTCTAAAATAACTGAGTGGTGTAATACAGCTAAAACCACGAACCACGAAGTCACGATGACGTATATAAAATATCACCCATCTAGAAAAGAAGTTTGCATAATGATGTATACTGTCCATGTGCTGTGGTATTTGCAGGAAAGAAACGTTAATACAGTAATACCCCCACAAGACCACAACCCCAAAACATGTATTGATACTCAAACGTCCACCGGGGGATAAGTAGCATGGTGGAAAATCATCTTACTTAAAAAAACCTGTTACACGAAGGCTCACTACGTACATACTTCCTCCGTCCCAAAAACCCAAAAAAAAAAAGATAAACCTTAGGTTTCTGTATCCAACATTTGATTGTCCGTCTTATATGAAATTTTTTTATAATTAGTATTTTCATTGTTGTTAGATGATAAAACATGATTAATACTTTATACGTAACTTATCTTTTTGATTTTTTCATAATTTTTTCAAATAAGACAGACGGTCAAACATTGGACACGAAAACCTAGGGTTTGTCTTTTTTTTGGAACGGATGGAGTAAATCACAAGCTGGAATTAAAGTATGCACTGATCCTTAAAAAAAATCCCTGTCACACGAACGCTTACAACGTACATAAATAAATATTTTAATTCCAACTTGTGATTTACTCCCTCCGTCCAAAAAAAACCTAATCCTGGGTTTGAATCTGGACACACAGGATTGAGTTTTTTTAGGACGGAGGGAGTATGTACGTAGTGAGCCTTCCAAGATATTTTTTTATTGTTATTAAGAAAATAAAATATTTTCCTATTCTGCTGCTCTGTTTCTTTCTTTTACCTGTATTATCTTGGAAGAAACAGCTCTCGACAATGTGTGGAACGGCTGCTACCTCCTGAAGTCCTGATGTGTCTGGACAGAGAACCACCAAGAGATGTACATGTACATGCATATATATACATCAAAACCTGGAATTGCAAAATGTGATGTGGAATACGACAATATACTTGGGCCTCTCAAAATTCCTTTTGCATTTTGCTATGTTATTTCTGAAGATTAACCATTTGTGTGGCTCTGACGGAGAAATCTGCGATTTCCTCAAATTCACCCTCCAAAGGTAAGCAAACTCTAGTATTCATTGCAGGCGTTCACGTACACAACATGTAAGTAATCATCAGTACAATAGTCTTTGTTTTACATACACAGAGAGTAGGTAATATCGAGGTGTGAGTGTGTGACCATTAACCAATCCGAAGACTTCCAAAAGATATTGAGCCATTATCCCCATATATTGGCGTCTTAATTAATAGAGGTTTGCCATGCCTCAGACCTCTAAGTTC